GTGTGGGGAGGGGCTTGTGAAGGTGTGTCGGGGCGGGAGGCTGTGGATATGGGAATGTGTGAGGTTTGTTGGGGAAGCATATGGAGTTTATGGGTGGGTGTAGGCTGCCCCCCGCTACCTGCCCCACCCCATGCACAACCCCAGTATAGCTCCTCTGCCAAACGCCCCTCCCTACACACCTCTGCCACAGCAGGCAGAGTCCCAAGCAGCACATGGCTCCAGCAAATCCTGGGGGTGGCACATAGGCAGCCCAGTTCAGCCTGCTTGCAGGGCCTTCAGGCCAAACTGGGCTGGCTCCATGGCAGCACATGGGGCTCACAGCACTGCAGGTAGAAACCATGTGCAGCCCCAGGCACTCAGCTGCAGCCACACACTGTCAGGGTCTGCCTGCCCTGGCCAGGTGCACCCTGAGGGTCGCCCACCAGCTGCTGCCACCATGGGGTGGGGAAGGGAATGTGGCAGGGTGGCCCACACCCACCCACAAACTCCACACCCAATTCCCCTCTCCTGCATGCAGGAGCTCCTCTTTCCACTCATCAGCTACACCCCAGGAATTATGCGATTATGCACAGTCATGTTTTATGTGCGAGTTTATGTGGGTGTATAAATTGTCTAATTCCCTGGTGTGTAAATTATGAATAGACCCTAAATGATCACTCCCACTTCAGGCTGCAATGTGGCATTCAAGGGCCAGAAGCAAACTCTCCTTTTTTTTTTTTTAAATGGTTTCCCACTGGATAATCCCAAGTACCTAGTAAAGGTTAGGTAATTGCTGGAAGCAGCTGAGTCAACACTATGCATTCTGCAAAGTAAACCTTTCCTTACTTCCCCATCTACAGCATTAATATTCTACTCTTTCTACTGTAAGCATTGCTGGCCTACCAAAAACAACTGGAATTAAATTTTTTTAAGACCTGAGCTGCCAGGATGTAAAGGAAGTCTCCTTTACTGATCCAATATATTAAAATCAGCATGACTGCTCCCACACTTGAAGACAAGCATGAATGTATTAAACGTTTTTCTAAACTAGATCTGCTCAGAATACTTCAGGATTATGGCACTGAGGGAAAGGAGGTTAATGAAAATTAACTGCTTTTTTGGAAGACCTTACCTATATATTAAGCATCAGTCTACTTTATGCACAATTAAGAATAAACATACCAGAATATCCAAACTTTCAGTGCCTAGAGCTCAGTAGTTTCTTGGTGAAGAACCTTACATGGAATGAAAACCAGCTTAAACTTTAGAATTAAGGAAGTCTGTTTGACCTTGGTTAAATCAAGTTTAGTAAACTGAGTTAAGGTAACTTCTAGCCAGAAAGTAAGGGGAAAACTGTGACACTGAATAGCTCTAAAGTTATTTCAATACAGTTGTACCTGTTAGCTATACCTTAGTACCTGTCATCACCATCAGCTGTTGCTCTCTACAGAGATTCCCCATTCTCTGGTAAAAATCATACCTCTACAATCTTCTCCCTGTTTTTTGTTGGATTCATCGGTGGTTCTGTGAGTAATATTTTACAGTTTTTTGTGTCGATGTTAAGTTTTTCTGGTCCAAATGTATAGTCCCAGAGGTGTTTCATATCATCCCAGTTCCGGACTATGCCATTCTCCATTGGGTAGTTAACTTCCAGCATGGAACGCAATTCACTTGCTTCATCACCAACCATAAGATCCTATAAAGTCACAATATTGAGGGATGTGTCAAAGTTTGTAAAGTTTTTAATTATTCTTTTGCAATTTGAATATTTTATGCACTCTTCACTTAAGTATATGCAAGCTAATTTCAAGGCATGAAACATTCTAAGTACACACAACCAGATGCAAGTTGGAACAATTCTTCTCTTACTATTATCAAGCTGGCATACACCCACACTAAATAGGCCTTTTTACTTTGAGCCATGTTTGGAAAATTTTACATGTTTAAATAAACCTTACCTTAGGAAGCTGCCAATACACCCTGTGTATTTTGTCACAATGAAACACTAAATAGACCTTAGTATGTATAGGCTCTTCACCACTGATATCTCCAGGATTCTTTTATCAAATATTCATATTTGAAAAGACTGAGATGTGAAATAGCACATACGGGTAGTAGGTGGGGTTGGCAGAGTAATTTTCCATGCATGCTGCAATCTTCTGTGCACATTACCAAAATAGGAATAATGAGTGATGCATAAGCATACAGAACAGTAGCAAAAGCAAATAAGGGACTGGAAGTTCCACGCTAGATGTTGAAACAGTGGTCTAGATTAGCCTGTGCAAGTTGGGTTTTAAGAGAATAGACAGATAATTATAACCCAATTATATCCAATTTGTTCCACACCAAAAACACCCAGTAAGATACTTTCTTATGAATCACATGTGGGCATAAAGTTTGCACAGTAATTTCCAAACTGATTAAATAGCCCATATATTTATTCTTTACTTGGAACTTAGTTATGCAAAATATAGCATATCTAAGTTAGCAGTACAAGAATAAATGTATTTGCCACAAGTATAAAGGAAAGCTGAACAAAAAAGGTTACTTTTGGTCCCTCTTCCCTACAGCTTATTACACTCCTCCAGAAAAGTCTCAAGACCTGGCCTAATACTGTATTTAAAAAAAGAAAATTCAAATTTCGTCCTCTTTTCTAAGAACATGTTCTATAAGTACCGATACCAGCAGAATTCTATGAATTCTATTTCCATTCAATTCTACGAATTTCTTTCTATGAATTCCATTTACAATGTAATAAGGAAAACAGCTGCTTTTGAACAAAGAGCTGTTCTGGTACAGAGCTTGCAACCATTGTGGGACTAACCTAAGTCTCAGCATGAACATGACTCAGCTGATCTCTCTGTCCAAGACAAGAGAAGCAAGATAAGTATACATTGAAAAATCCAATTGGAATTGTAAAACTATTTCTATCTTTAATAATCTAAGGAGTTACTGGTAGCAAGTAAGGAAAGCAGTTTATAATATGGTTTATCAAGTGCCCCCTATCAAGTCCCTTACTAACTTTTCTGGATTTTACAGATCGTTTTTAGAACATTTAGCACTTTTATAGGAAGAAATCAGAAATCTAACCTCCTAAGCTTTAGAAGGTTCATGACTGGATGAGCCTTCCAAACCTATTATCAAGTTACTTTACAACTATCAAATGCATTTACATAATTCTGATTTCATTTAACAGTTGCCAGTTAAAAGGACCTCAGTGAAATTTGTTTTGCTTTGGATTTGTATACCTAGGAATAGACATGGCCAAAGGAAAAGCTGCAATTCTAAAGCACGATGAAAGTCACACAAAACCCTCAAACCATCTTAAACAAAATTAAAGGGAGGAAAAACAATTCTCTTCAAGAGCATGCTAAAAAAACCCACCCCACACACACACAAACCCATGGGAGAAGGAAGAGTAGCATTAAACTCTTAAATAGGGATCAGTGTCACAGTACATAATATTTTTCATCCCTTTGTACTGGGACCAATATTTGGATAGCTGAAATTTGAGAATCTTTTCCAACCCTCATTTTGTTATATTAGATCAAGCAGTTTAAAGTGTTAAGAACACCAAGCTGACTTTCACCCTAGAAAAGTGTTATTCTTGCATCTACATGTAACTAGAGGTCATGTCACATTCAGAAGCAGTAAGATAATCTTATGGAAAAAGTTGCTGTTAAATAAAAGCAATGAACGAAGTTTAAAATAAGTATGTATTCAAATGTAAAATGTGGGACAAGACAAAACATTAAAAAGCGTCAAAAGAACATAACAGCTACCAGGTCCCATCAAGCAAAAATGGGAAACAAACAGCACAGGGGGCACCTCACTTACCATCTTTTTGTTATTCTACTTCAACAGGTCAAGAAAGGTGAAGAAAGAAGGTAGAAGCAAGAGAGTCAGAAAAGGCCTAAATGAAATCCTCAAATTATTTAAAGTACACAGCAGAAATAAAGCAGAAAAGAGATGTACAGCTAGAAGTGTTCTGAGTTAGTGTAGTTAGGGATGAGCTTATGCTCAGTGATATTGCTGCTCTTCCCAGACAGAAATGGCTACTTGGAGGAACTTGTTTCCATTAGTTACCAATATCTCATTTTTATTCACAGTATGCTACTATCTCTTCAGAGAAGCAGAATCCTTTACATATCAATTTTCCTTTATAATTAAATTTCATCCGAGGTGGACAGTATATCTGGAACAGACAAAACTACATGCTGTATTAGAAGGTAACTAATTGCTAACAGACTGCTAAATAAACTTACTAACCTTTATTTTTGTGTGCAAGATGTTTATCATCTCACTCCTTGGGAGCTGAATTTTACAATAGTAATACAAATATTAAGATAAAAAAAACTGTAGCTCCTTCGACATACTGAATTATGAGCAAATGGAATCCACCAACAAACATATTTGGTTAAATATCAGGGGTTTGGTTTTTCTAACTGAAATACATCATCATAAAGTGAACTAGTAAAACAATGACTTGGGAAAGTTCTGGCAGGCAGTAGCCTGTTGTGCTAAAAGGTTAGGAGAATTATCCACCATTGTGGTACTCTGAGATACACATTTTTGTGAACAAGCAGAGACAAAGATGACACAAAAGCTACTTGAAGTTGTGGATTTCTTTCCCCTCCAAAAAAGAGTCTCCTTTTGGTCATGTACACTTACTGAAAACTATCAGCTTCAGTAAGGTATATTTACTTGTTCTGTTTAGAAGCAAGCATATCAGGACAATTACGGTGTATAGGCAGCACTCAGAAAACCCATGTCCAGTAACAGAAGGGAGAAAAAAAAATTAGGTGAGATGACCATTTTCCTCACCTAATCAAAATGTGCAGAGATGGGTTTCCTTTGATAGGAACTGAGAACTATGGTATACAAACTAGAAATAAAAATGGAAGAGCTGAACCAAACAGTTTGGCATTGTCTACCCAAAATTTCTCTCTCTCCTGTTTGTTTGATTTTTTTGTTCTGTTTTGTTTTGTTTTTTTAAACACTGGCCCAAGCAAAACAGATTTTTAAATCCAGCTGAAACCCTGGCATAGTTCAGGCTCCCCGAGCCAGACATTTTCAGCAAACCAGGTTCAAAAACTGCTGAAGGTACTTCAAAAGCTGTATGAATAAACAAGTGCCAAAAGCATGGTTTATACCCAAACTCTATTGCTTTAGCCAAGCTGGAATTTTGAGGGAATTGTGCCAGTGAAAACTGAACCATTGTGTACTTATTTCTCTGAACTGTGGGGCTGTGAATATGAGAAACAGCTTTCTTTCTTTTTTTTCCTAAATGGAGGATGAAGATGCTGTCAAACATGTTTTTCTTTCTTTCTTTTCTTTTTTTCGGGGGTGGGGGGAGGAAAGAGGGGTTGAGAGTTTGTTTGTTTTTTAAAAAGAGCCTTTCTTTGGGGCCCATTTCACTCATTTGGCATTTGTGTGCACCAAACACAAGAACTATTTGCAGAATATTTTTGAAAAGTTAAATTAATAAATCTCATCAGCCTTCTATACTCAGGACTCTAAAACATTCATAAAGAGCTCTACCATTTGTAGTTAAATTAATCCATTTGAGTGTTAGTATAACTGTTTTAATTTTTTTTTTTTAAACAGCAATAGTAAAAATTTGACAAGTCAAACTTCTTACCAAAAATATCCCCCATATGGTCAGAAAGGGAGATGAGGTGTGTCACATGACTTCCCCCTCAAGTGTTTTTTTTGGCTTTGTCTTATGACCACAATTGCTGTACACTCTTTAAGAAAAAAAGATCAGAGCACAAAGCCCTGCTCCCCATTAAAACATATTAGAGTGATTCCATGTTTGGGAAGGCAAGCTTCACATACAGTGGGTAGGTGTAGAAAGAACCCTCACCTCCTTCAGCTGATCCTAGCACCTTTGTTTACACCAAATCAAATTCTGACATGCTCAAAAGCCAGATGGCTGCACTGGCAAAGTGAGCACTTGCAGAAAATATATCAGAACCCTAAAGCTTTTGGTCTAAGCAAGGTGCAGCTCCACTAATGAAGATCAGGGGAAATTTCTTGCTTGGAAGTTCAGCTCCTTGCCACATCCAGCTGTTCTGTAGGACAATGAAATTTCTGCCAGGACTGTAGCTGGACTCTGCTTGGGGAATTTAATTTTCACATCATGTTCCTGTAAGCAGACATCTGAAAAATATGAGGCTTCAACAAACCCTAGTACAGCAGCTAGAAAGATGGGGCACTTCCCTTTTTTCTGCCCAGATCCTCCTACTTACTGTGAAAGGAACAAATCTCTTGCTCTGCAGCTTCTGATTGTTTGAGGCAGTTTAAATGACGGATCTCTTGGCTACTCTAGCTTTCTTATCTCCACTTTGTAAGATCTTTCCCCCAGTGGAATAACTAGTGCTGTCTTCTGCAGCAGGAAACTAAGATATAACTGGTAGTTTCACTGCTGTCTATACAGTTTATCATTAGTGACATGGAATGGCTCACTTCACTCTGCTGCTGTATTGCTAGGTAGAGTTCAGCAAAAATCGAAACTGAAAATAAACAAATTGAACATTTGTTTGAAGACTCAAGAAATCTGCACCACATGTACTGACAACCAAAGTGTTATCTTTGTAATCCCAAGCAGAAACTTAGGCTCCCAAGTTCACTGGGAAAAGTTTCCCAGTCTGGGCCAATATGTAGGTTTACTTTCCAAACATGAAATACCACCCGAGTTCTTAGACTGTAAGCTACTCAGAGTAGGGACCAGGTGTCTCCCTGTGCCTTGTAAAGCACTAACTTCACTATCAGTAATCGAAGCATAAGGAAAAATAAATACAAGCAAGGTTAAGCATCTCACACAGGATCAGATGGTCTGGCTTACAACTAATTTTTATTATACTATATATATTTTTTTACTATTCACAAAGTAAGACATTGACAGTGATAGTCATTATGCATTGTCCTAAACAAGTTACTGGGAGACTGAGAAAGGCAAGGCTTTACTGAAGAGCGGCTCACAAGGGGCATCTCCCTCAGGTAAATGAAAAATTAGTGAAAGAAGGGCAAGCCGCCAAGGACTAACTTTCATTCACTACAACGATAAGTGCAGGAACACGGGCAGCTACTGTAAAGCAGCTAACACACTGTAGAGCCATGCCATCTTCTACCTCACATTAAGTTGCTTCTGTTCTCCCATAATCTTGAATTAAGGTTGAATGGCAACACAACTGCTTTTGCCCGATTTTCCCACATCTATTCGCAAGATTTGAGGCCCCTTCTGTTCATATCTGAACCCCACCCAAATCCCAAGAATTTTTCCCCCCAGTAGCATCTCTCTACCCTCTTGACTACCACATAATGACCCAACAGAGAAAAGTTTCAAAGTTCAATAGAGCAGTGAATCAGAAGGACTGCCAGAGGGTGGCAAACCAGAAGAAAACATATTTTCATGCATTATGTAACTGAAAGGCTACTCTGAATGTTTCTGCCCACTATAGGAGAAAAAAAAATACTACCTTGATTTCAATGTTTCCCACTTTGGCAGTTGATCTTATTATTGGTCTTCCAACCAAAGCTGGAAAGATGTGTTCTGGAAAATTGGAGCCTGCATATCCACACTTCACAAACTGAAAACAGAAGAAATTTCATAGTTTGAATAATACACATATGTAGTACATTGCTTTGTTATTAAAAATAAGCTTACATGTAGGAAGAGATTCTAAATTTGAAGAGAACAAGTCCCAGTGAGAGTCAGTAGGAAAATTACTCCTCCTAGAACAGCAACACACACAAGTACTTTTTAGAACCCTGTTTCTGAAGCAGATTCTGAAAAGAACACTGATTTCACTTGGTAGATGCACTGATCTTAATTATACAACTCATGTTCCCTTCCACACCATGCGACTCTACATTTATAGACAGACTGATTATTCTCAAATGGATCACCTTTCAGGGTTGACCCACTAACGGGGGGGGGGGAAAACCCCAAACAATGCCGCCCCCCGACCCCATCTTCTCTCAAACCCAGAGAAAAAACATTAGTGTTACAAGTTACAACGTAAAAATGCTGTACCGCTTGAATTTCAATTGAGTCAGTACTTCTCATGCGTGTTGGGAAAGGGGTTGACGGTATGATGAGAGAAAGACTAACTGTACTTCCCAAGATATTTTAAAATAACAGCATTGTACAAAATCTGTAAGGAGGGTAGAGGATGTATATGTTAATACGTCTCAAAATGTGGTGTGCAACCCCCAAAGGAACGACAGGAAGTGACTGTCCAGATGACAAGTGTTAAAAGAGAAGCCAACTTAATTTACATGCATTGTAGAAATGCAGAGACATTTATACTTTGGGTGTATATTCCTGAAGGGGTTAAACTTTCAGTAGTTTAGGAAATACCTGGGTAAATAAAAGCTATATATACCACGGCAAAAAAAATGTAATTAATTTAATTATACTATTTAGGTGACTACTACCAGAGGTGCACCAATGCATTGGTCCAATATCAGATCGGCACTGATATGAAAAAAATTGATCACATCGGAAATTGGCCCGATGTGGCCGATAAATGCCCGTGTGTGTGCACAGCTGCAGCGCAGCACGTAGGCAGCTTGGAGAGCTGCATGCAGCTGGTAAGTCTGATGTGGTGGAAGGGGAGGGGGGATGGAAGGGGTGTGGAAGGGCAGATCAATGTCCCCCATGGTGAGGGAGGAGTGGGGGTGGGGCTGGGGCAAGCACTACCCAGTAGGGGCAGGGCAGGGTGGGCAAGTACCAGGCCAACAGCTTGTCCAGGGGATGTGGGGAGGGGGAGCCAGCTCCTACCGCTGCGCACCACTCGTCCAGGAGCCTCTGGTCCAGTATTCACCTACTCGTCCGGTGGCTCCTGCCACTGCTCCCGCCCCTTGTCCAGGAGGGTGGCATGTGCCCCTGGACCTGCATGAGGCAATGTGGGGAGGACTGGGGCTGCACAGAGCACTTCCAACCCTGCCCCACGCAGATCTGGGGGCACAGGCTCCCCCCATGTCCTCCCGAATGAGCAGCGCCTCCCCCCCCCCCGTCCTCTCAGATGAGCAGCAGTGGGAGCAACAGTAGCAGCTGCCAGACCAGTGGGCAAGTGCTGGACCAGCGACGCGCAGCGGCAGGAGCCATCCCTCCAGCCCCATGGCCAAGCCACGGCTCTGTGCCATGCCCACCCCACCCTGGCTGGGCAGTGCTTGCCCCAGCCCCTGTTCCACTTCTCCCTCACCACAGAAGCCTTGATCTGCACCCCACACACTCCTTCCCTGCCCCTCCCCTTCCACCACACCAGACTTACCAGCTGCATGCAGCTCTCCCAACTGCCGGGCTGGTATAGGAAATCGGATCGGTATCAGCCAACATGCCGCCTTAAAAATCGGCTATCAGTATCGGCCCCAAAAATCTCTATCAGTGCAACCCTAACTATTACAGTTTACATATAATTGGTTTCTTTTAAATCACTCATAGAAGCAAATCAGTGCATAATGTCAAACCCATCCAATCCCAAAACACATGCAATCTGCTTTGCAGTCTCAAGTTCTACAAAGTCCCTGAACTCAGTAAACCTATTACTGGTAATATGAATGACTTTATTGATTAGTAGTGGTATACCCATGTTTTCAAAAGTCACTCCTCCCCTTGAGACCTCCCCCAGACACCCCCTTGGATCCCCCTTGGGGTCTCCCTGACCTTTCTC